TCTAATTCTTTTGTGGAATTTAGGATGAGGTAGTCTCTTTTCCACTGTATGTTGAGGCAATACGGTTCGCTTTTCATGAAGAGAACATGGTTCGCACTGCCGTCCGTGCTTTGACACTTAATGTTTATCATGGTGAGCTACCAGCATTACATCGTTGTTCAATTTGTTTTTCTTTCTCTATTTTATATTTTAATTTCTAATTTCTCTATCTTTTGTTGTCAGTTGGGGATGACTCTGTCAATAAATTTGTCACAACTGCCCCTCATGCGGATTATTTTTCAAATTTAGTTTCATTCTTCCGTCAGCAGTGCGTAGATTTGAATAGATTGGTGTCTAACGCTCTAAAGTAAGAGTTGAATGATTGATATTATGATGACAATTGATAGAACTTTCCTGTATCGTAAGAGCTATTGTTTTGATTACTGAGACAGGACCCCAGGGCCTGATTCAACTTCAACAATTTCTGCTGCTGTAGATGAAATTGAAGACAACCTCTATTATTTTAGTGACGTTATTTCTGCTGGCATTCCAGATGTTGGGAGGCTGATAACAGACAACATTCTGCTGCATCTGATTCTTCCATTGCTTCTTCCATCTCTATGTACAGATGGGATTCATGTATCAGACTTTTTCTCTCTGTTCTTATTTCCTTTTTTCATTCATTTTGGTCGAAAGAAGGCAGAATGATTTCTTACTTAGCTTTTGATTTCTTATGAATCCAGGAGATGTGGATTAGTTCTATCACTTCCTTGTATCTACTTTGTTGCATCTTACGAATAGTTAAAATCAAAGATTTGGCGAACACCATTGCTGCTGCTTTATTCTGTCCCCTAGAAGCTTTCACCCCATGTTCTCAAGTGAAACTCAATGGGTATGTTCCTAGTCATAATATGCCGCATGAAAACCAACAGCAAGACAGTGATTGTGTTAGAAAGTTGGATACTGCGCATTTAAGTGTCAGAGTGCCTAGAACTTCTAGTTCTCAAATTCATGTTGAAGATGGTACCACGCAAAGTAGTTGTAGCAGTTCAGATGTGGGTTTGAGGTAATGTGTTATTTGTTACAGGACTGAAGTGGAGATTGACAAAAGAATATATTCTCTGTTTAATATGTTATAATTGTCCAGTTTTCAGAACCATGCAGAGGTGATGTGGATCTGCTGATCTGACTTGACTGTAAAATTCTTGGTAGAGAAAATTAAGCCTGCATTTAGTTCATATCCCATCAATTCCTAATTCTAACTTTCATATAAATTTTATATGCGTAAGTATAAGATAATTTATTGCGATTGATATGTAAAAATTCCTCAACAGTGGGAGTTTAACCTCCTCCTTAATATGTAAAAATTCAACCTCACTATAAATGACCTTTCCAATCGTTCATTGGTGGCACCACCTTGCCGCCACTTAATGACACATCTTTTTATCAAGAAACAAAAATGTTAGGAATTAAGTTCTCATCATCAAGTAATTCTTATTTCAAAAGGAAAAAAATCATCAAGTAATTCTTGGTGGTGGGGGTAATTTTAACGCATTACATATGAGAGTTTTATCATGATTATCAAAAAGAACAAGTCTGTCTGCCTCATTCATCAGATATTAGCAACATGTTGATAAATTAATGTCATCGTCCTCATTTAGTATTGTAAGAAACTGTGGGTAACTAATTATTCCGTCAAGCAAAATTTTCCTCCTAAACATAAAAGGATATTAGTGGCGTTCTTTATCAAATCGGTTTTCTCACTAAAACTTCTCTGCTTTGGTTCTGTTGTGTTTGGTATCAGTAAATAAAATTCTAATATTCCAAAAAGAAAACATCTCTTCTCTTTTGCTAACCTTCCTGTTGTCTGATTAGATTGCTTACTGACATTCCTTGATCCTCAAGTTTTTGAGTCTGCAAAAGTTCTTGTAAGTATGAATTGGTAGAAGGAGAGATGATAGGGAATCCTAATTCCTTGGGTTTTCTCAAACATTTTCTCTATCCCACTCTCTCTCATGCGATTTTTTGTTGTGCATTTGCTTGCTTTGGTGTTTATATGAAGTTTGGCTATGCTTCTCTCTCTTGCATGGTTGTATATGTCTCCATCTATGATGGTTATCTTTTATTTACAAGTGTTTCTTGCCTACTAACTTATAAAGTTTTCTTTTGCTGTATCTGTTCGGAATTGCTTTATATTTTCAATGCACTTGTATTTGTATATGTCCAGGGAGGCATTGCTTTCGTATATACGGAATGGGAATGATGTACAGGCCTTGGGTTCCTTGAGTGTGCTGGCTACATTATTGCAAACAAAAGGTTGTTTTACTATTTTTATGATTTCATTGTCTTCACTGCATTTTGTTTCTCTCTAATTTATGTCCATGTTTTGTAGAATTGGATGAATCAATGCTTGATGCTCTTGGGATCCTTCCTCAGCGCAAACAGCATAAGAAACTTCTGCTGGTGAGTTATGGTCATTGGTACTTTTTCTGAAATTGAGAAACTTATTTCTGTGTTTGAACTAGAAAAAGATATCCCACCACCTTTGTCATAGTACATCTGTTTTGATGCACCCTTCAAGGTATATACTTGTTAAGTTTATAAATTGAGTATGGAAGTGGTTAATACCACTTGAGCTGGGGTACTGCTGCTCCATTTTGTATAGGTGTTTGCAAAGTTAATCTAGCATGTGCAAATACTTTAGGTTTGCTATATTACTTGTGGTACTGTTTCATTCTTAGGCAATGATCTATGGACGCTGTGATCACTTTCCAAATCTTTTTTTTACGCAAGGTAGTGCTAGACATAGCATATGAATATTGTAAAATAACAGAGAAAATAGGAAGAATATTTCTTGTGTTTTATTCCATAGAGTTAGGAGTATATATACATAGAAGATGGATCTATATATGCAAACATAAATCACCCTATTAATGCTACGAAATCAACTAATAATTATATAAGAATATTTCATAATTTATTTTGTAATATTCCAACACTCTCCTTCAAGTTGAAGTATAGATATTAATCATGCTCAACTTGTAAGGAAGATATTCAATTCGGGTTCTATTTAAAGTTTTTGTGAATATATCTTTTAGTTGTTTCACTGTTTTCACATAATCAGTAAAAATCAAGTTCTTTTGAATTTTTTCACGAATAAAGTGACAATCAATTTCAATATGTTTGATTTTTTCATGGTTATCAAATTTGAGGCAGTACATTTGGTACCATTAGTATGTTATATGGCTTAATTCCTAACTTTCCAGTTTCTGTTAGTAGATTAAGTACATACTTCATTGGAGACAAAAAGTATTTTAAATTGACTCAGTCTTTAGTGTAAAACTTGGTATGTAAAA